CAACTACCAGCACATCTGGGTTATGAGCTGGCAGATCTGGGATAGGTTACTCCAAGCTTTGTTTTGTGGGTACAGTTTAATTCAGCTCCTCAATGTCTGATGTGGTTCCCTCTCAGATTTTGTTCGAAAGCTATGAGAAGCCCCATTTTGAAACTAACCGCTTTGACTCAACCTCACTTTTCTTGCTCCAGCATCACTTGACTAGAGCACATCTCCTCTCAGTATTTCCCCCCGCAACAGGCTCTATTCCCAAGCAAACATCATCACTGAGACCAGCTAAACCAAGCTCATCCTCCATATAAATCTATATAAGCCAAATAAGACCACCCACAGGCATTTTATTTGGGATGTTTTCACTGGAAGAGACACGTGTTGGCACTCAGGAATATCACTTAGGTCAACACCGCACATATGCAAATCAGTAGATGACTTGCTAATTCATCTTATGGGCTACATCCCTCCAAGGTCAAGCTTTCTGACAGAAACGCAATAATGTGCGTTCCATCAGCGTCCTCGCAAGCAAAGTCCCGCCCTGTTGAAACCAGTGGTAAAATTCCCACTAGCTGCTGTCAGCCTACCTCAGAACAATAAAGGAGATCCCCCCCACCCCTGCTCTTCAAAAAGCCTCATCCTTTACGTGCAGAGAAAAGTAACACAGCCTGGTCCCCACTGCTTCGTGTGCTCCCTTCAGGTAAATCCTGAAGCCTCTTGACAGGACACTAAAGATTCGGCAGCTTAACGGCAGCTGTTCTGGGAGCAACTGAAGGTCCTCAGCCATCAGACAGGGACCTCCTTTGTAGCAGCAGGACCTTTCTCCATCCCATGTTCAGGTTGTATCTCTGGAAAGGGCTGCTCTGACTACCCCTCATTCACTCCTAGGGCCTCTGTCTGGTGCACTGGGAATGGTCTGTGATCCTTTGCTCCATTTCTGTATCCAGATCCCCTCCTCTGTGTCCTCTGTTTTCTCTCTCCATTTCTTGGTTCATTATTTTTTACTTTCCCCTGTTGCCCAGCTGTTGCCCAGCTCCTTCTGTTGCTCTAGCATTAGCACCAAAAAGGACAACTCTTGTTTTCTCTCAATCAGAGAACAAATTAATCAGGGAGATGTACAGTTCAAAATGAAGGTTTTCCTGTAGAGCAGAAAAATGTTCAATAGTTAGCAAAATCTGTTTGACTGTGGCTCTGCAGGCCCTCCCACATTTGGGACTAGGGTTGCTGGCTGAGACTGGGAGGTATTTCCCAGTTCAGGGAATGGAAGTTCAGGGATTTTCAGCTGTCTGTCTCCCTTTGCATCCCTAATTTTCAGCTGGTCCTACACACCTGGCTAGTTCATTTGTTGTCCTTCCCTTACTTGAGAGTGCTCAGTCTAGGTCATGGAATGGGCCAACATCCTTCATGGATATCTATCTTTGACAAAAGTAACTCCCTCTCAATCCATGCATATTGAATACCCCATCTGCAATGAAAATTGCAGTTGCTCCTAGTCTACGGTGGCAATCAGAGATCCCCAGTCCGGCAAGACTGATGACAATGACCTTGTCACCTGAAGTATTCACCTCCTGTAATTCAGGGTCCCCCAAGTCATCAGATTTGTGAAGGGACAACAAACGGAGGAAAATAAACCATGAGATTTTTTCGTAAGTGATATATCTTAAACTGTTTACATTCTCCCTTCTCATTTGTCTTTATGACTCTGTAGGAAATATGTATTACAAATGCAGTCCTTTTTCCACAAATGAGAACTCTGCTTGTTTGCAGGTGTATTTCTGCAAGGCCTGGCTCCGGACTGCCTGTATATGGAGTCTTTTTTTTAGAGAAGCTTAATCACCTAATAGTATTGGGCAGATAAGATCTGAAATAAATGCTCTGAGTAATAACAAGTCTGCCAAAGAATGGAAAGTGTTACTTAATTGAATTAAATGTATTCCTTGTATTAGCCTGAGAAAACATTTTCCTGGAGCAAAATTAAAACATCACTTCATTTCAGCTTACAGCCAGCAGATTAAATATATCATGCCAGATATTCTGCTGGCTCCATGCTCCTGTACATTCAGCTGTGAGGAAGACACGCTTCAGAGTGACAAGTATATAAAGATTCAAACATACGCATTGACTCTGGGTAGCGCTCTTTTCCATTTAACAAGAATGTCTACCTCCCACCTCATCATTCAAGCTGATGAGTTTTGTAGGAGTACGTTGTATTAATCATCCATCTTGATGACAAAGAATGTTAAAGCATCAGGTCCCTCTGCTGTAATGTGCTGAAGTGCCCAGCACTGCCCTGATAAGGAGAGATTTATGCACATTCCCTTTCATCTGTGCTAAAGGCGGTCATTCTTCACTGTGCCAAGGTTTTTCCAAAGTAACTAGCAATTATGGGTATCCAACCTGACACATTTCGGAAAAGCCTGAAGGACCTCAAAATCAGGGCCCCGAAGTCCTTTCCGCCTGGACACCTAAAAAGCACTCTGCTAGACAGCATTTTGGAAATATTGAGCATAATACTGTAGCCTTCCAGGGTAAGAGTATGCCTTGCATCATAGACACCTTTTAAATATCAAGGGTGGATGGGGAGGGAATGCAAAATAAATGCCTGCAATTAGCAACTGACTTTGAATGAACCTTGACCCTGTCTGTTTGAGAAGCCAGAATAAGGAATAATGCTGTAGCCAACCTAAGCCTTCCCTCCAGCCCAAAAACTAATAAAATCACTTCACTAGCTGCTCTGATTTTGAAATATAAGAAGCATGATGAAGGAAACTGTTTTAGATGGAAGGACAAGAAATATCCAGCTGAATAGTGCATGCCTGGCTGGAAGTCTGCAGGAGCTAGCTTCTCATCTAGGGCAGAGCACAGCCCAGTATATAGGTGAGAAACATTGAGTGGTAACATAAAGCTCTGAGCCTAGCTCTCCAGTGCACTACAGAAGCATAGTGCTGCTAAAAATCCCCTCTAACTGCAATTTGGGGTGTCCTGGCACAGCACAGACTGTGCTTTGGCTGGAAATAGGTCTGTGCCATGGGTGCAAAGTGAGCGCTTCTTTGTCCTAGTTGTCTTTACTGAGAGGGACATTTGGGCTCTTGGAAGCCCATTCAAGCAGATTTCAAACCACTGCAATTGATGCCAAGGCCAAAGTTGGTGTTTAATACCCTCTGGCCTGGGAAAGGTACTGTAAAGTCTCCTTTGTGCTAAGCCTTTAGGCTCAGGGCCAAGCCCTCAAGATAATGGGACAGCCAGACAGCATCACTGTGCATCGTTTGCTCAGCAGTTCCCACTCAGGCCAAGCCCCATTGACCTCAGCTGTGAATTCTTTACAAACATGCAGGCAGCTTGCTCCACAACAAAATTTACTCATAACAAAAAGAGCGCACGCCTATCTTGCAACATCCTGGTGTTGTTTGGCTAGATGATTTTTGAGTATAGGCTCTCACAGTAAAGTTAGTAAAGTTCCTTTTAAGTAGTAAACATGGAGTGGAGGGATGTCCACTCAAGTGGGCAGGGTTGAGATAATGGCCTTCCTCTGCCGCTGACCTGCCTTGTGTCATTGGGCAAGCTATTGCACACCTCTTTTTGTCTCATCTTCTTGCCTTTCAGTAGGAACTGCTTCAGGAGGGGAATTGTCTCCTTCAGATAAAACCCCTGCTAATATGAAGCTATTCTCATTAAAGGACATTAACCGCAGCTGAAATGCAGATAGTGATATCCTGAACCAAAAAAAGTCTAATGAGTTAAATGAAATATTGTTAGATAAAATACAGGTTTCAGGATCATGGATTCAAGGAGCTAACAGAAAAAAGGGGCATCGCTGCTGAAGGTGAAGTTTGGCTAACAAACAAAGATTCCTTTTGACAAAAACTGACAGCTAAATATCAAATGTTCTTCCCCATATCCAAGTCACTTTTATAACAGTTCAGTTCATAACAGTTCACAGTTTGCAAAGGTGATACTGCTTTTATTTCAGAACAAACACGGCTTGCAAGTGAGCAAAGAGACATCAAATCATCAAACTCAAGGACATCAGACAAAGGAAAATGACATACTGTGAGACAAAATCAAGACAAACTTTTCTTCACAAAAGTGCTTGGTAATATTCTTTCTCTCGTTTCACTCACTTTATGTCCCTATAAAAAATGTAATAGTACCTAGATGCACTGCGAACATTTGCTCTAAGGTACTAATTGCCACTGTAAGAGAACAAGAAAGGACAATGAACAGGATAATTCAAAGCCCTTCTGAGGACACCTTCCATGCCTGGGGATTCACTCAATTTTCACATATAGAATATTCAGTTATTTGCAAAACTTGTAAAAGGAATTGTCTTCCCTTTGAGGGCATTGAATGTAGGCTAAGTACTTTCCTAGGATACGTATTGGCTGTTTAAAGACACAATATGCAAGAGCAGAGGGCTGCCATTTAGCTGCAGACGTGATTCTTAGTGGCATGGCACCATTTGTGGTTGAGGAGATACTGCAGTTATACTGAAGGAAACCATAGTAGTCCCTATCACCATGCCTTAAAGCAACAAGTTCTAGTGCTTTTTATATTCTCCTGGCTAATACCTGGACCAGGTTGCTCCTTTTGCAGAGGTCTGCACCTGATCGCATGACAGACTCCGGCCCTGGGGAGACTTATACCCTGGAAGCCCTATCTACTGAATGGGGAAAGACAGGATATCATTGTGTCCACCTTGCAGGGCAAGTGCCTGCAGTCCTGGGCTTTGGACGTGCAATGGCCACACTGCAGTGCTGCGTCAGGATGAGATGAAGCCCCGCTGTTCACCCCTCTGCAAGCTTGGGTTTCCCCTGGAGTGAGCTGAGGTCCCCTCCAGGAAATCTTCTACGCTGTGCTGTCACAGAGCCTGGACTCTGGAGCCCACCACAGAGCATGCCCGTCCCACCAAGCAAACACGGCCACGGGGCTAATTCCATCCTGCAGCTGAGCAAAGAAATTAAAGACAAAAATGTCGCTACTGCAAATGCCACAGGACTCCATGGGGAACACTTTCAGAGATCAGGGGAAAGCCACTGGGCATTCGGTACCTCCTACGCGCATGCCTTAGGAAACCTCAATATGGCTACTTTTAATGCCAATGGCCATCAGAAGTCCCAGCCTGGGAATTGCTCAGTGATAATGACTGCAAGAAGAGGTCTAGAAGGCCAACACCTCCAAAGAACAGGTCACTTGATTAGTTACCTACTCTAATCTGAGCTGATCTAACCTGAGGCTGATTTTTGGGGTACTCAGGTTTGAAAAAGCTTAGTGTTCAAACAGTTTTATCAGTCTCTTTCAAAGACAAATTAACCCCATCTCAGCCCAGCTTTTGCTTTTCATCAGTCTTAACTGGTAATTTGTTCTGCAGGACTCAGTATGGTATTTTTCAACAAGGAATACCCCATCATCAGTGAAACACAGGAAAATAATGAGGTACAGTATTTTTCCTCTGGAAGCAATGCCCACAGTGTGTTGTACTCTGCCCCACATGCTTCTCTGATATAAATCGTATTCAAGCAGAAGCTCCTGTCTCCATCACCATCACATGAGCTTGCCTGGAAATGCTGAATGATCTGTGCCTCCTCCAGTAAAGGCTGCTAAGATTTTCCAGGACCAGACTTTCAATAAACAAAAGAGATGAGGGTGGGAAATAATGTTCGCAGCCTGTAAAGGGTGGAGGTATCAGCATTTATTGGATGTTCCCTCTGCTAAAGTTGATGCTACTCTTTATTTCAAGTTCCAGTGAATGAATTTCTGAAACCTAAAATAATACTGTGCCCAAACATTTAAAAGACAAGAGAGAAACTATGTTGTAGAACTCACAGTTAACAAATAGATCCTAGAAACCAAGCTAATATAAAAAAACCCTGTGCAATATTAGGGGGAAGGGACAAGTTGTCTTCTAAAAGGGTACATCTAAATGCAATTACTGTATTTTAGTTAGTAATGATGTAACTATGTAATCATGTAACTATCAGACAGGAGCTGTGATTTCAAGGCATTACACAGCCCTCACAAACCAGTGACTCTGTAGCGGGCTCCATATATCTTTGTATTCCTTAGCCTTTTCACAGCCCTGCAACCCTGTGGGAAGAAGCAGTCACATCTTTTGCATTAGATGTGCAGCAGACTGCACATCGCTAGACTGCACACATCCCCAGCTGTTTTAGCTCTTCCATATGTTCTTTTCTTGTGCCTTAAATGATTGGCACAGCTTCCACTGAAATCAAAAGGAATTTCCCCTCAACTTCAGAATAAATTGGACCAAGTCTTAGTTGTAGAAGTTGAAGGCAGTTACATTTACAACTAACTAGTGATTTTTGAAAATTTCATCATTTGGATTCCAGACCTGAGCTGCCTTAAAGTGCCTTGATTTTCAAAAAGGGCTGAGCATTCAATGTCTGATATAAGCCCCCTTTAAGATGTCTCAAATCCTGGACATCCAAAAAGTACTAATTTTGGTCTTAGGGGCTCACTGCACCATCTATAAAGGACTGACTGAAAATGCTGTCCTTTGGTGATGCTGTAATAGGATTTTTTTTGTTTGTTATTTGATAAATCCAATAACAGTTTCCGGCTGTACTTAGAGATCTAGTGTAAATACCACTGCTATTGGAAAAATATCCAATATTTTTCCAATATTTACAATATACTGAACAAGCGGAGGAAAAAAATGATTCACAAGAAAATAACCTTGGTACAGTAGCTATGCAACGAAACGTAGGCACTTCTTCAAGAGTTACCAGACTTTGAAACTGAGTTTCCCATGATACACATTACCGTTTCCTTACAGGAAAAAGTTCTCAGCCTCTTGTTTGCTCAGGAATCTGACTCTGAATTTGACAGAGCTGAAGGAGATAGCAGCGAGGTGTCACTGTCTCACAGCCCTCTGTGGAAAGCTGTCACAATCTTGCTCTTTCATCAGGATTGGCCCCCAGCTTTTCACTGTGAGGTTGTATTAATCCACTAAATAGGAAAGCAGCCCATGCAATCCTACCAGGAAGTATTAAACGCCCCTTCTTTCCACTTTTTGCTGTTGTTGTTTGAAAGCAGCTCTTCTTCACAATGCATTAAAGCTATTGGGAAATCACTGTCTTGGCCAGTTGAGAAAAATCTGTTTGAAAAGGCACTGTATTTATCTGCTTTCCTTTCTCCTGTAACAGTCTTGTGTATGCTGCAATATGCCATCTCAATAATATAATATGTGTATTAACACATATCTGGAAATATCTCAGTACTGTTCATTTTCTCAGTAACAGCTTCTGCTATAAGGATCCAAGGAAATTCTTAGCAGACCTTTGCTTTTCTCTTTGTCCCTATAGGTTGGGCTACTGAAATAGCCTCCTCCAGCTCAGAGCCATTCCTGTACAGCAGGCTAGATGAGTTTGGTGTTAACACATGGAGGGCTGAGTTACTGGAAGGAGTTAAGAGGGCCAAACTTCCTGGAAGCCTGAGTGAAGGAAGCAAAAGTAAAACTTTCACAGTGCTCCAGCTTCGCTTTCTTTGCCAGTTTGGGGACTACACCGTGGAGGGAGCGGAGCCCCATCCTCTGCTCCTCATACCACACCTTCCCTATGCTGCCAATCTCCTTCCGGGCGGTCAGGTAGAATGGAGACTTGGCCTCCATCTGGTTTGGGGGCCGGTGTATGTACAGGTACTTGTAGAGGAGGCAGTAAGGGCAGAGCTCGTGTCCTTTTGAGTGCTCATGGTATATCTGGCCGTAACACACTTTATTTGCACTCAGTCTGTTTTCTCGCTTCACGCTATCCGTTCTGGCAAAAAAGAGCCTGTTTTGGGAGTCTTTGAGCAATTCAACGTCACCAGACATCGAGTCTGCCCACTCCTGTAACGTTCGCATGTTCAGGTACTGGCTGTTGTATTTCCCCACTGTGGACAGCAGGGCTATGGGGCTGCCACCTCCCAGGCATCCTGTGCTCCACATCTCTTCCTCATCAGAAAGGGAGAAGTAGACGATGTTGCGAGACTGAGCACCAGACATCCCAGCCTTGTTCAGGAGCCTAAGCTTCTCCTTGAACTCTTTGGTGGAAGAGCTGAAGGTGCTGCTGCTGATGGAGAAACCCACACCTGCGTTCTTCAGGATCCGGTCCAGGCCTTGGCGGATAGCATGGATGGATGTGGCTAGAAAGTCTGATCCATCTATTTTCTTCACCGTGATGTAAAAATCCTCCAGGAGTTCATTCAGCCTCACAGCTGGGATCTGGAACAAAACGAAAGTGAAAGACATGTCAGTGTGCTTGTGCGTAAGGAGATACACTGCAGGTGTGGAAGATGTGCTTTTAAGGCTTCTGCATACTCTAGCTGGAGAAGCCTGCTGTGGGATTCCAGGCTTACCCAGAAATTTGTTTTGGGGCCGCCTTAGAGTCTTGGGAAGAGGTTGCATGTTTAGCTAAGCAAAAGAGATGAGATGAGATGAAAGCCCATGGTGTAAGGTTGCCATGGCAGAACAGGCCCTTTTCACTGGCTGGCACCTCTTTCATGCCAGCAGCGACTCAGAAAAATGCAGCTGAATTTTTGGCCTTCTTGAAGTGAACGGTTTCAGCGCTGAGGTGTCACTGTACACAAATGTCTGACCTATGACATGGGCCTCAAGCTCTGTACTTTTCCAGTAATGTTCTGGTTGTGTAAACATTCCAGTCCTACTTTGCACTGACATGTACTAACAGTCTTCATAATCTCTTAATTAAAGTGGAGAATTAAGCTGATCATAATGAGGTGCTTGGAGTTACAGGAAGAAAGGAGACACAATGTTGCCTTTGAGTCCTTGATTACAAGAATTAAGAAACATGAAGACAAGAAAAAGAGAGAGAGAGAGAGAGAGCCAGCGAAAACCTGCAGCATTTTCTTTGTGGGCTCACAGTGCTTCTTTGGGCCATGAGATGTCACTATTGTGTTCAGACTGGGATGACCTGCAGGCACAAGTTTCATACAAGGCCCTCTACTAAAGCATTGTGGAGAACACAGAGAAGAGTGCATGTTTATATAGCTACAGCCTTCCTACAGTGGAGGAGACTTAGGCACTTGCAGTGAGGCCCCCTGACCTCGGCAGCCAAGGGCTCAGGAAGGATTTGGCAGCCAAACAGTGTGCTTCCCCTCTGAGGCTCAACCACCCCCCCAGCAGGTTGAGGGGGCAGTATTTAGTCTCTGCACCACCAAGATGTATACAAGCTACAGCTGTACAGTCTGCCACTAGGTTAGCATGGCTGAGGCACCTCTGCAATACCCTTTGAGGAGATGTTGCATCTCCTCACCTTTCTGTACTGAACACTGGTATCTGAGGTGTTGCGCTCTCCTCTGAAAGCTCTCCCTTGTTGTAAGGGAGTTTAATGTTGGTCACACTTCCCTCACTCACACTTTTTTATCGTCATGCAAAAAAATGTCTTAGATCAACCCGACAAAAAAAACTGAACTTAAAAAATGTGCGTGAGGCTTTCTGTACTTTGGTGGATGGCGGCCTTAGACATAGTTCTTACTTTGATATGTAAATTGATTTTGGTAGTTCATTTTGGAAGTAAAGTCCTTAAACGCTTTGAATTGCAATGGCTAGGTCTCAGAGCAGAAATCATGTCTCCAGGAGACAAACGCTAAGTTGTTTGGGTAATAACAGGAAATCCAATCGCATGGCAGCATTGAGGACAAAGTTGGAAAAAAGTTTTACATACTCAGAAATCTTTTGTGTTACCTTGGGTTTCCAAGCTACTGGCTCAACCATAAAAGCAATAAGGTGTAAATGAGAAAAGATTATACCTTTATAAGAGAAACTTAGAAGGTTCCTGAGACCACGACAACCTAAAGAAGGCTGAAATCCCATCTTTTTCCAGTGCTGCTTCTCTAAACTTTATGTCAACTTCTCTTGATGGGGTGGGCTGGCTTCAACCTCTGAACAAACTGTATTTTGCTTAGTTTTCTGACCTTAGTGATGCCCATGTAATCCCTTAGTCCTTTGGTCATGCACCAGTATCTCCATACGTTGAGAGCAGAGAGGGTAGCCTTAGTGGTGCTGGGGCTCACAGGACTGATACACAGGTACCTGAGGTTGTTGTCAAAATTAAAGACGGGAAACTTGTTGAGCTTAGTTGAGTATGCTAGAAAACAAATAAAAATGGGATAAAAATAGCTTGGCCTGTTGACACATTATATCTGGCTGAGAGCAACCTGGAGTTGTTCACAGAGTGTGAAGGATTGTAAGAAAGATGAAACAGAGGATCCCCATGAAGATTTCCCACAAGTTTGTCCTTTGAAGCCTCAGGTGTGGCAGAAGGGTGTGATGTGGAGTCACCCTCAAGTTGCCTCAGAGCTAAAAATGTACTGCCACACGCAGCTAGTAATAGCAAAGGAATAACAGAGGAACTTTTATTTTGCTGAGGAAGAAAACAGTGGGTCAGTGACAATGGCAAAAGTTTTTCCTTTACAAGTTGACTCAGGAGGAGGTGAAAAAAACTCACTCTCTGCCCTGATCCTGTGCTGCATATGCCTCACACCATCACAGGTGAGGTATCTGTGGAAACCGGACACGCAGTACTAAGTAAGTAGGATTTTTCCACTTGCGCCCACTTTCTATTCCCTATAAGACACAACAGAATCAGGCTCTATTGCTTGAGTGAACCAAAGCAAGGAGCATCTTGATGAATGTTACGAGCTAAGTGAAGATACTTGTGCACTTTTGAAAACTATCAGCCTCACAGGTGGGAACTGAAAGGAGAGGATTGATGAAGGACCGTCTTGTAGATATTCAGATACTTAATGTCACTTATGAAAGAGTAATATACTTTTATGGTACCACTATAATTTTATTAGTTCCACTGTACTTTAAATGTACTTTTTACTGGCCCAAAGCCAATGGATTCAGCAGCCCAAGGCATGTCAGCCCTTACAGGGCGCTCTGAACATCTGTGCACCGAGGGCTGCTAGCTCAGCTCAGCAGGCAAAGGGGTGCACTCAGGAAGAGAGAGCTGCCAGATTTCTCCCACTAACCTTCAACTCTGCAGCCACAGGTGACAGTTTCTACGGCCTTAGAGGTATGGCAAACGCTCTGCAAATTAGGAAGAGACGATTTTTTAAGAAGTTCCTATTGCTGCAGCTTTTGCTGTTTAATCAGCATACAAAAGGTAAAGGAACTATACAAACCTAACTGAAGAACCTACTGCAAACAAAACAAGCAAGAAAGCTGAATGCATACTTTATGCAATGGCTAATGACATAAACATACTGCCTGACCATTTGGGCCCTAGCCAGCGCTAGAACAAGGGTCCTTAAAATGTGGTCTGTAGACCCCTGACAGCCCATGGCCTCCTCTTTAGGACTCCAAGGAAGATCTCTGGGAAAAGCACACTATGCAGAGAGCACATCTAAACAACCCACGTTGCCATGCAAGCCCATCCAAGGCACTAAAGAGTGGAAAACACAGAAAACCACTCTTCTAGGCTGGAAAACACTAAGAGCAAGCACAGGTCTTCACAAACAGGTGTGAAGAGACTCTTTCTTCCCTCCATACACAGCAGCTACCTAGTGGACAGGAAAAGGGCTTCTTTGGAACCGAACGGTAGCCTGCAGGTATTTTTTCTAAACTGGGCTGTGCTTACAAATTTTGTTCATGGCAAATGACTGCCCTTGGTCTATGCTTTTCGTTTATTGGCTGCTCTTTGTAGCGTCCAGCAGCTGCTTACTCTCTTGTTAGCTCAGAGGCTCTTTCTGCAGAACATGCAGCTATCTAACAAAGTAGTGGAGCATAAACTTGGATGGAAGTCCCTCTGGTCAGTGGTTTCACAGGCTCTGCCTGCTGAATTACTAGGTGGATTAATCTGCTAAAGAAAGGCCAGGTACTTGGGGAAATTATGAGTTGTTCAGCCACTAACATTCTCCTCATCAAGAGCCTGCCTATGCTTTTGGAAGGGGTCATTGCCACAATTCATAGGAAAGACAGTGGCTATCACAGTATCACGAGGACAATTTACGGAACCACAACAGAAGACTGACTTAGATTGTTTCTGACTTTGCAAGGCATAGTTTATCATGTACTGTTAAGTCATAGTCCTTGATTTCTCCAAATTCCAGATTTTCAAACTGTGGACTTCTGGTTTGGGCTGACCTCAGATACTTGATAGTGATAACAATAACAGCTTGTCATTTAGTCCTACTCCAGTCCTGAACTGAGATAGTGAACAAAGCACTGCACCAGAACAGAATAAACAGATGGTCACTAAGGGATGGCAGCAGCCCGATGATGTTCTACAAGTTGTAAATGATACCTGAACACCTCCTGGAGTACTTCGTAGAGGTTTAAGATGACTGACAGGAGACAATAAAAAAACGTACACCCTCACTGAGTATGACAGGGATTCTCACTGGGACCTTTCAGATAGAATCTGGAAAAAACATCTAGTGGCCAGGAACATACATCTCATTTTCAGAAGGGATTACAAACACTGGAGCTGAAAGGACAGGTACTCTGTTTTATAATCAAATTGATAATTTCAGGTCCTGGATTTAAGCCCCACGAGACTTCATTTTTGTGTGTTAACTCACAGTCTGTCTGTGAAAACAAGGAAATTCTGACTCGGTAGCATTGTGGTTATGACATGAGTGACTGACTAACATAGATGATCTCTAGCACCTGAGTCTCCCTGAGTCCTGTTGTCTAACCCCTAGTATATCTTTTGCCTCCATCTTTCTGGAACTTAGCTGAAGACTCATTTTCAAACAACAATTTTCAGAGAATGTGCTATGCATGTGAAAATGCAACACTTGAATGCTTCAATAATGGCAGTTCCTTTGAAAAAGTCATGTTTGAGTTTGGTTCACCTGATGGCACTCCAGCAACGTTAACAATCCTTACAGAAGCTTGCAGAATCACAAGAAATGGCTGCCAGTACAGGCACAGAACCTTCCTTCCAAATTTCTGTCATTGAGATGATATATCGTAGGGGAAAAAAAACCACTCACATTTGTTATTGCTTGTCAAAACGTGCACACGCCCTGCATCTTTCCAGACAACTATGCTATTATCTGATGGCTTGTGGAGAGCCCCATGCCAGAGCTTTTATGTTTAAAGGCAGTTTCTAATCGTTTAGACACTAATGCTCTGCTCCATGCTGGGGTCAGCAGTTGTAGTACATGTGTGTCTGGCGGGAGAATAAAAGGAGGCTGCCAAACAGGTTACTGAGATACCATCAGAACTGGTGAGCTCTCAGATCTGATTTCTCTTTAGATCTCTGCATTCTTCCTCACCCCTAAAAGCAAGAACAAGTCCTCCTATAGCTCTAGTTGATGTTGACCCTGCAAAACAGCAAAACAGCAATCACTGTCTCAGTGATCAGAAAAGCCAGGGGACTGTATTCATCTCCTCTCTAAGGAAGCAAACATACTAATCTACCAGCCACCGACCATAAACACACAAGATAATGATCTCTGTCATATCTGGATGTTCCTAAGTCCCCCACTCCCTGTGGCCTTTACTCATTTTTATGTCAGCTCATGCAAAGGTACTGACACAGATCACAGACTCCAGTCAGGTAACACTTGTGTTCAAAAGTATCAGGGATTTTAGGTGCTGCAAACAACCTGGCTCTCACAAGATGCGCTAGGAGAAGCTGCCATGCTCGCTGTCCGCATGCCCACTTGTACAGGCATCCGTGTCTGATAGGACACTGACTCTGCCTGATGGGTTTCTGAGCCATACGCTCTGTAGCAGAAGTTCTGCTGAGCAGTTTGAGGATCTCGGAGACACCCCTTTTACAACCATGTAATGAACCCTTTTCCAGAAGGGGCTCCAGACCCAAGATGCTGAAAGACCTCACACGATGTGGAAAAAGTGAAAGGCTGCAGTTGGAGCAGATGGTGCTACAGAGGGTAGAGCTTAACTTTCAGTTTCACAGGATGGGTGACACTTGACCTGCAAACAGCTTCTTCATGCAGCCTCGTGTCCAGCCACCCCTAAGCTTCCCAAGATATTTCTGAGTGCCCCTCATCAAGGACCAGACACAGAAATCTCCTTCCAAATGCAGATGAACCTTGTGTTATGGAGTTAACTGCCTCACCGCTAGCAGTATCCTTTCTTCTAAGCACCTAATGCTTCTGTCTGCCCTTCCCAGGGGGTATATTTGAAGCAGTATTGCTGCCAGACAGTTTTCATCTTGTCCTGTTCTGTTCCCTGCCATCACAGGTACTGTTTGCAGTTTGTATTTGCTTGGGGACAAGAATTATTTAAAAACTTGTAAGTACACAAGGTGCTCTGCAGTGAATGATCATGTTACACATAGGATTTTGCCTTCAAGCTC